CTGCTGCGGGTTGGGCGTGCTAGCTCTGCTGGAGCCATCGCCATCGAACAGGGCATCAACATCCAGGTTGTTGCTCTTCTTGAGCGCCTCTTCCTCCTGCGCCTTGCGAGCTTCTTCTTCGGCCTTGCGCCTAGCAAGTTCCTTCTTCTGCTCCATCTTCTTCTGGCGCTGTTGGTCGAACTGCGCTTTGCGCACGCGCTCGGCTTCCTGGATGCGGTTCTTGCGGTTCAGTTCGGCGATGCGGGCGGCGGCTGTTTCTGATTGGGTTGCGATCTTGGGCTGGGCGTCGGCGTTGGGGCGGTTGAGGAGGTGGGCGTACTTCTTCGACTTTGCGATGCGCGCGCTGATGTCGGCGTCGGTCCAGTGGTGGTTTTGGAGCGCCTTGAGGTCGTCGTATTTGCGCTGGAGGAAGGACTGTGTGGGGACCTTGGCGTTGGTCTCTATGAGGGATTGCCGGTAGGTGTCGAGGTCGTTCTCGGTGAAGCGTTGGTTGGACATGAATTGGAACTGGTAGTCCTTCTTCACGGAGCCGTGTTGCGCAATAACGTATTGGTCGGTCGCGACGCGCTTACCGTCCTTGCCGTCGAAAACGTATGGTTTGCCAGCTGAGAAGCCTGAACAGAATGTTAGCATTGTTTGTAGTACAGCTGGAGCCGTGCATACCCTTGATTTGCGCCATCTTGTACAGTGTCCGCCGTTGTGAGTCCTGACCGACGCCTACACGTCCAAATGCGCCAGTCAGAGCCTCCTCAAAGCCAGGGTGGAAGCAGACTTCTGAGAAGAATCCTCTGCCAACACGAACCGACTCGAAATCGCGTAGGGTGGCAGGCAGCTCTTCGCGGGCCTTCTCTGGTGCTCGGTCGTCCCACTCCACGTCGCTCTCGCCATCAGCGTCGACATCCGAGCCACCGTCACGATCTCCGGAGCTGGACCGCCTGCGGCCACTGCGTCGGTCGTCGTTGCGCTGTCGTTGCTGGCCACGCTGCTCTCGCTCACGCTTGTATGCCTCGAGCTTCTCGTTCTTCCGCGGTTGTACCTTGGGGCGAGTGCTCCTGCGCTCGTCGGCGTCTTCGGAATCAGCCTTGCGCTTCCTGTCGTTCTGGACGTTGGCGGCGCGCCTGGCGAGCTCAGCCTTGAAGTTGGCGCTGCTCATCTCCTCGGCACGCTGACCGAGAATCTCTTCCCGCTCCAGCTGCGATAGGCCCAGAATGCGGCGCTTGTCTGATTCGTCGATGTACTTGCCCTCTAGGGGGTAGGGGACGTCTGCGGAGCGCTCTGGTACGTCATCGTCGCGATCTGAATCCGACTCGTCCATGGCGTCGGAACCCAACGAGTTTGGCGACGAGGCTGCGGGCGACGAGCTACGTGGAGTCAGCGCCATGTTGCGGTAGGGGGTTGAGCGGTCGGTGGAGAACAGAGCGGAGCGGAACGGAGAGGAGAGGAGCGAGGGAAAGGAGCGAGGCAGAGGCAGAGGAGGAGAATGATAGGTGAGAGATGGTACTCACGCCTCGCCTTCTTCGACGTCTGCATCTTCGTCACCGCCAGCGAGGGCGAAGAGCTCGTCGTCGATATCATCGGCCGACATGTTGGGTGGGATTGGCGAGGATTTCGCGGTGATTTCTGGATCGTAGAGGCGCGTTGGAGACGGACCCGGTGTCGCGGAGGGTGCCGTGAGTGAATTTGGGCGTGATTAGGGGGGAAGAGGATGAAAGAAGAACGTGGGAAGTCCAAAGGTCGGGGAAACGCTCGTTGAGCTCAGGCCATGCCGCGTTGAAAAGTGGGCCGTGTTAGCGTGCCTTGAGCGCATCATACCTCACCCGCCTATTGTCCGACTCACTCAATTCGAGAACAATAGCTTCGCCCCTTCACCTGCTCACCCGTATTACCTGTATTGCATCATAGTCTGGCCTGGAACATGTCTCCCGTCCTGCTCCCACCGCGGGCATTATCGCGCACTGTGGCCCGTCGCAGCCTCCAATACCCTGTGCTCGACTTTCTTGCCCCCAGTACCACATGCGCACCACGCCAAACGTCACGCCTGGCCAGCACCGCCTCCGCACCCCAACCCCCGCCTTCACAGCCCGACTCCGCGCAATCACCGCCTTCACTGCAGACGCAGAAAGATGGCAAACCAATACGGCCGCTGTCGCAGCAGCAGCAGGAGTTCCTCTCTTCCGCGCTGCGGGTGAACCAGACGGGTGAACTCGCCGCCATCCTCATCTACGCTGCCCAATCGCCCGTCCTCACACGGTCACACCCGCACTTGCGACCGCTGATGAAACACATGTACGACCAAGAAGCCGGCCACTACAAGTTCTTCAACGAGGTCATTTCCAAGCACCGCATACGACCCACCGCAATGACGCCCATATGGACCGCCGCCGCCAGCATGCTCGGGTGGTCGACCGCTGTCATGGGCCGCGAGGCCGCCATGGCATGCACAGAGGCTGTCGAGACGGAGATCGGTAACCACTACAACGAGCAGGTACGCGTGCTGCTAGACTGGGCGAAGAAGTGCGAGCAGCGGGGTGAGAGCCTGGGACCCGAGCTGGACAAGTTGGTGGTTGAGTTGCGGCGGATTAGAGACGAAGAGCTGGAGCATCTGGATCATGCGGTGGAGAACGATGCCAAAAGCGCGAAGCCTTATGATCTGCTGAATGAAGTCATAAGAGGAGGATGTAGAGGCGCCATTTGGGTGAGTGAACGTGTGTAGTGTGATGTATGACTGAGACGATCTTGTATATACTGTAACATTAGACACGCATACCTGGCTTCTGCGTTGACCGTCTTCCTTCAGGTGAGGGGTGGTGAGGGGTTCAGGCTCTGTTGGCGATGCTTCCTTTACCATCTTCGTCCTCAAGCCAAGGATCTCATACATCTGTTGCTCAACTTCCTCGCTTTTATACGCCAGTCTCTTGTCTTATCTTCTTTGATACCCATGCTGGTCAGGATGGCGAGGGCTTCATTCTTCTGTTGGCGATGCTTCCTTTACCTTCTCCGCCCTCTAGTCAAAAGTCTTAAACATTCGATACTCAGCTTCCTCACTTCAACACGTCAATCCTTCCTCTTCTCTTCTATCCTTTGATTTCGCTGCTGGTGTTCATACCCCACACGTCCCTCGGCCAACTCCGTGGTTTTCTCCATTTCTCGCTTTCACCTTCACTTAAGCTCCCACTCCACCAAAACACGCTCTCACCACCACAACAACACTGCCATCACCACAACAACGCCGCCACCCACTCTTCCCACCACCCACTCACCCTATTTACTTTAACCTCTATCCATCCCCGCTCTCTCTCCTAATATATACCACTTACTTTGACTATTTTCCATCAAAACAAGTGTCCGGCACAACACAAACGACTTGCCAACCGACCCAACTCGGGTTAGGTTAGAGGTTCGATCCCTCTCACAGACACATAACGGATGGGAGATTCATCCCCATAAGGGGCGTCGGGTATCATGTACCTGCTAGGCTTGCTTAGCGGGTATATGGCACCTGAGTGTGTCCGACCAAGGGAGACGTCCCTTGGTTGGATGTGCTCGAGTAACGTTTGAGAGTGAATCATCGAACTGGCGGAGGCAGGGGCCTGTTCCATTGATCTGTTTTTTTTGCTGTTTTTTTTTTTGCATGTTGTATGTAGTACTGAGGGCGACACTTTCTTCAATAATGCATAACTAGTGTGTGAGCGGTTGAACTCACTCAGTTCAGGATGCAAGAGGTAAGCAGTTAGAAATTGAAGGTGCGTTGTGCGTGCGAGGGCGTCAAAGGAGGAGAGTAGGGATGGGCGGTGGAGGTAAGTTTAGAAATGGTAGATAAGTAGTTGCATCATTGTATAAAGAAAAAGCTACAGCGAAGTAATACCTATCTAGCGCACTACATAACACCCAACACCACGCGCGTACATGCTGGAAAAACCCATCTTCGCAGCACCTACTCAAACCCACCACCAAGATCACTAAGCACACTCCGCATACCCTGCTTTCTCCCACCCTCAACCTTCTTCCTCAACGCCTCCTTCCTCTTGCCCTCTTTCTTCTCCAGCAACGCCCTCCGCTCCGCCTCCCTTGCCTGAGCATGGATGTTGCTCCGTCCAGTACCACCTCTCCTCACTCCACTCTCCTTTGGCGCACTGCTACCCGCGGACCGCTCGCTACTGACAGACAGATTACTAGTTGCCTGGCGTATGAGCGACGGAACGCGGAACCCTGGTGTCGCAGCCCCGCGCGATGGAGCATGGAAAGCGAGATTGGTGTCTGCGCTTACAGACTCTTCGACTGTGGATTGCCGGCTTAGAGTCAGGCGGTCGATGATGGGTTTGCGCGCTGCGGAGACGAAGGCGGGTTCGTGGTCGTCTTCTGCGTCCGAGAGCTGCGAGTCTGGGATTACGATGCGCGTGTCTTCGATGAGCTCTGAGATGGAGTCTCTGACGTCGTCGGCCGTGAGGGGCTTGCGCGCGAGGCTTTCAGATGCTGTTGTGCGGCGCATGTGTGGAGGTGGGCGGTTCTCCTTCTGGGAGTCTTGGGACTTGCGCTTGAGTGGGCTGTTTGGTGCTGATAGGTTTTGGGAGGCGGCCTGGGAGTCTGGGACGGCGATGACGTCGCCTTGCACTTCCTCTTGCGACTGTGACTGCAAGTCGTTCATGTCCGGCTCCTTCTCGGGCATGTTGAGATAGTCGTACTCGCCTTCGTCGTCGAAGTCGGCCAGTGTCTTGAAGAACGCCTTCTTCTTTTCGTCGTCGGCGAGTGCCTTGACCTTCTGGTCCTGCAACAAAGCGTTGGTTTGCTTCTGGAATGCAGCGCGCTTCTTGCGCTGGCGCAACTCGGCCTCGTCTTCAGAGTCAGACATGTCGAAGCCGTCATAGCCGCCACCACCTCTGCGAAGGCCACCCTTCCTTTGCATCTTCTTGTAGAGCTCGGCGAGATGCTTTTCGTCATCCTTCTTGGTCTTGTCACTGCGTTGGATTAGTATTGACATGACACGAAGATGGGAGTTGAACTTACGCGTAGAAAGCAGCAATCTGGCGCTCGTTGACTTTAACGTCGTTGTGGTCGATCATGTCCTTGAGATCTTCGTCTTCCTCGCCTTCCTCATCATCACTAGCTCCTCCAAGCCCGGCGTATTCGTCCTCAGACTCCTCGGCTTGTTCCATGACGGCTTCTCTCGCCATGCTCTTCTTCTTGTCGAATTCTTCAGCTGCCTTGGCCTTCTTAGCCGCTTGCTGCAACTTCATGAAAGCATCTTTGCTGAGCTTAGGAGGGCGTTGGATGTCGTCCTCGCTCTCTTCCTCAGCATCGATCGAGTCGTCTTCAACGTCAGAGAGCTCAACAGCAGCCTCTCGCCGTCCACGCTGAAGCTTGCCTTTCTGCTTGATTGGCGACTCGGCAATGAGCACCATGACGGTATCGGTCGTTGATGGTGGCGGGGCAAGGCCTGCTGGCGACCGAGAGAAGGAGAAGCCTGCATCCTGTGTTGGTTCAAAGTCCTCGACCTGGGTCCGCGAGAACATGGGGGAAGTCCTGACGACTTGGCTGATCCCCATGCTGAATTGAGACTCGTCGCCAGTCTGTGTTTGCTTCTGTGGCGACATGAAAGTCTGGCTGTTGGGGACTACAAACTCCGAAGCCTGGCTAAAGTTTGCTGCGGGTTGGGTATCGGGCAGGTTTCGCAGGAACTCTAGAGAGTCTTGTTCGGTGTTGACGGCGGCAGCAGGTTGGGAGTCAGACTCCAACTCGGCCATGGTGCCTGCGAACATCTGTGTGAGGCCTATGCCGGTGTTGGCGTTGCCGAACCCAAAGGCGGCCATTGTGTCGGTTTGAGTTGCTGGTTGAGTGGGTGTGGCAGGCCTAGGAGCCTCTGCATCATCATCGTCGTCATCGTCAACGACTCGGTTGCGGGCACGGTTGATAGTTTGCCTTCGAACAGGAGCGACGGCATCTTCGTCTTCCATATCGACATCCTCGTTGACGTTCTGGGCTTGCACTGTCTGCTCTGGCTCGTCGTCCTCGTCAGCCATTCCGTCGATGAGAGGATTGTCTTCAGCGTCGTCTTCCATCTGCTCGTCTTCTGAGCCTGATAGAACAACCTCGGCTTCTTCTTGATCATCGTCCTCTTCTTGGTTGGCGTCCTCCTCGCCGCTGCCGACATAGTCGCCGTCTTCATCATCGCTGGAGGGAAGGTCATCGATGGTCTCGCCGTTTTTCTTCGCCTCCTTCCTCTCCATCTTGGCTAGTTCAAGGTCCTCCTGCCTTTGCTTCTCGAGCATTGCGACCATGTCGTCGATCTCCTCTTGGCGCTTCTCCCTCTCCTCTTCAGTCTCAGGGTTGTGACCTCGCTTGATCAAGTCGGCTATTCTCTCCTCTTTGGCTTTCGCAGTCTGTTGGCGAGCCTTCTGAGCTAGGGCGAATTCCATCTCACCACGAGTCACTATCTTCTGTCCCTTCTTGCCCTTTGGTGGCGACTTGGTCAACTGAGCGAGAGCACGTAGATGTACGAATGACCCTGCCTCGTTATCCTTCTTTGTGGGTAACCGGTCAAAGACGGGGAATCGGCTCTTGGGCTGTTCCACCTTTGCATCATCGTCCGAGTCCGAAAGTTCCACCATATCGTTGTCGGAGGTCTTTTTGGTTTCCACTGCCGCTGTATGCACAGTGACTGGATCTGCCTGCTTCATCCAAGGATGTACCGGCAAGTGTTGGAACTCGGGTGCTCGCCCTTTGCCCTTGTCCACTCTCGCGGGCTCGGGTGGCTGAATGTTGCTTTCGGGCGCCGTGGTAGATGTTTGTTGATCTACGGAAGCACCCTTTTCCTCCGTAGCATTTTGTCTTTGGGGACTCGTCGGCGGCGTGTCCTGTATTTGGTTTGCCTCTGCATCAGACGATGTAAGGGCCGAGCTGGCCTCTGGCGTTGGGAGAGGTACGACTTCGGCGTTGGGCGCTTGGTAGTTGAACTTCTTGAACAGATCCTGGGTTGTGAAGCGCTTCTTTGTCTTGGCTTGGTGGGTAAGCTGCATGTTACGGCTTATGCGCTGCTGGTCGCGAGCCATTGCCTCCAGGGCCTTCTTTCCAGCTTTGCGGGTTGGCTTCGCTTGTTGTGTAAGCCGCCTGCCGCTCTCGCCATCCGACTCGCTGCCAGAGCCCTGATCTGCTAGCCGTCGTGCGAGCTTCTTAGATTGTGCCTGCTGCGCTTCCTCCTCTCGCTGTTTCGCCAACCTTTCCTCTCGAATGCGTCGTACCCGCTCTTGCAGGTCGGTAGTATGGATGGGCCGCGAAGACTCGTCGGAGTCTGAGCCGGCATTCGCTGATCGCCGTGATGGCTTCTTAGCCGGTGATGGACCCGGAGTCACGAAGAGGCCTGGGGAAGATGGTCGTGATCGTACGCTTGGCGATGCGGATGCTCGAGGGCTTGCAGTCTTCGTCCGGGTTGTGGCTGGTTTGCGGGCATTCGCTCGTACAGGCATTGCGTCCTCATCTTCGCTACTTTCGATGGTAGCAACAATGGGTGCTTCCTGCTGTGCTTGTTGCGGCGCGGCCGATTGTGCTGTCGATGAGCTCTTGTTGGCAGCGAGCCTCTTCTTCATGAGTTCGTATGCGTCTTCTCCATCGCTCTCGTCTTCCTCGTCAACCTGCGTTGTCGCCGGCTCCCCACGTGTTGTTGTTGAAGGCTTTGCGCTGAATGTGGGTGCTGTGTCATTCTCAGATGCAGACGCTTCACTATCAGATCCGGCTTCGCTATCTGAAGAGTCCACGGTTTTGCGCAGAGCTGCTAGCAGCTTTGGCCGAGGCTTCGCGGACGCGTCTGCCGCGCGTGTTGGGGACGTTGGTGCTGGTGTCATGGTGTATGCTGAAGTCCCTAGATTGGGGTCGTAGAAATGGGTGTTAAGAGGCGCTGGCGGTTCGTATGTTCTGATATGTGATGGTGGTTGTAGGTAGAGGCCGCGTGAAGTCTTCGTCGACGGGGTAGACCAGGAAACCTAAATGGAGGGGTATTAAACGCGTAATGCAAGTGCTGAAGATGTATATCGAAAGACGTAATAATTTTGCAAGGCTGGATACGTTCAATTGCACATGCACATGGCGGGGAAGTGTCGTGGTTGGAGCAAGCTTGGACTACGCGTGATTCTGGACGTCGCGACACGCGACTTACGACGCGACTTCTCGCGCTTGCCAAATGTGGCTTAAGTGCCACCATTCCTTTTTCTCTCCACCACCAGATCGCTCCACATCACGATACATCGCATCGTCTGAGACAACGTCGCAGTTGGCGACTTCTACCGGAATACCAGCAGGACATGCTTCATTTCAGACAGCTCGCTTTCCTTTATCCGCGTGACCCGCCACTCACAAGCCTCGCTGAGTTCTCGGCCAGAAAGTCCTCCACCATCCCACATGACACTGTCGTCGCGTGTGTTGTGTGAGCAAGATACATGGGTTGCGCTCCGAAAGAGATGAATTTCTTGATTCGATACCACCACATCCCGACCACTTCTGTTTATCCATTTAGCCAAGATTTCGATCGCGCTGTCCTAACCGTGATAGTCCGTCTCTGTTAGCAAGAAACCAACGGGACGGCGTGTCGCGGACTGATTGGGCACGTCGACATCATATGTCCATACGAGTGCGAATGCGTCAGCCCTATGCCTCTTCTCTGACCAAGCAGTAGCCGACCCACTGCAGGAGTTTGCTCCGCCACATAACACACGATCAGCATGAATGCAGACTTCCATGCAATTTGACTATCTCCTTTGTTGAGGCTGCGATTTGGCGTAAACACGATGGAGGCCTGATCACGTTTCATGGAAGCCGAATCATCGTCGCTTACAAAGGACTCTGCGCGTGAATCAGACGTGCAACTAGGTTCTTAGCCTCCTGGATTTCGAATTTGATGCAGGTGTAAGTTCACGGGGTGTAGGAGTTGTTTTGCATGAACTCTGGCACACAGCCTCGATGGATACCTTGGGCACGCACAGGCAGCTGCGCCGCAGAACACCCGCTTGGTCAGCTCATACTCACGATGATCATACTGGTGGCCAGTCCTCTCTACAGCGGGCGCGTTTCGACTTATGCAAGGTGGTGGTCATAGCAGGAGGGAAGGTCGACGTTTTACAGGCGTCTTACCTGTTGCGATCGGACCATGGTGCTCCGCCAAAAATAGCACCCGTTCCTTCGTCGGTAACGCGTACCCCAGAGAAAGACCGTTGCCAGCCAAGCAGATCTTGCAAGGGCCACTTTCACTTTGACTGCTCGCGAGCATGGCTGGAGCGATCATTCGACGTTATGCGGGATCTGCAGAACTCCTTGCCTTATCTCGCGTCCACATGCGTCTGAAAGATGACGACAGACGTGAGCAACAAGCGCCTAACACGCTACCACGCGTAACGCGCCATTGGTGGCTTTCCGCCGAAACGAACGCGATGTGCTGTAGCAACGGAACTACCGATGCGGCCATCGCGATAGTACCTGTTGTTGCTCACGGAACTGACTGCGAAACGCCTCAGGCTGGCTTTTTAGTGTTGGTTGTTCGATGTGTCTTACAGGGCCACCCTACTTCTTTGAGCACTGCCACCAGAACGGCACTTTTGCAGGAACGCATACTGCGACGAATTTCGGGCCAATGGCCGAGTGCGAACTTCTCTTACAGCGCGATGGATCGTAGATGGTGGGGGTGAGGAGTTGGGATTATGTCACGTCTGATGCAAGCGACGGCTCCAGATACCTTTTACGCGTTCGACAGTGAGGTGGAGCGGTACGACAGCTTTCAGATGGCGAGCAGATGCACGTTTCATGTGGTCTGCTGAATTACCCCTGAGAATGCGGCCCTAGGTTAGTAGCGCTGGGGGTCCCTGCAGCGCCGGCGCGGCGATCTCCCTTAGAGCATCGTGAGGCTCGACGCGTTCAGAATTTGAGATCGCGGAAGGAGAGATCACCATGGACAATATTGATCACTAGAGGGAGTTGCTGCAGCGCCGGAAACTCTCCGTGCAATAGTCACTTGCTCTAGTACCAGACAGGTGTGGAGGCATGCATGCCTGGGTGCCTGCATGCCAAGGCAGCCTCTTAGTGCCCTCTTGAAACCCGTGAAACAGACCACGGATGTTGCTCTTCTAAACAAGAGCCGTCCGTCTCCGCCCGGAAATTGGACGATCAATGTCTTCCTGGCGGCCTAAGAACTGAGCTTATACCCATCCGTATACCGTCAAAAGCTTCTCGAACGCTTCCATTTCGCGCGCACTCGCCCTCCCTACATAGTAACCACAGCTCTGCCCGCCCAAGACGGACCGTGAACCACCAATCTCCGGCATGATACTGGCGATTGCGCATACATCGAGATAACATGGAGGCCGACGACGCTCAACTCTACCAATTCAGCACCCCTCAGCAGAGCAACTCGTTCAAGCGCGCGCGGCGCAGTCTACAAAGCTCCACGCCCTTGAGCAGCGTGACCGAGAGTGTCACTTCTTCCCCCCGTCACTCTGGCCAGAACCAGTTGGCACCTCAGCTCTTTGACCATGTCAATGCGCTGAAGCATCTTGATGACCAGCAGATCCTCCAGCTACTTTCCGTTGCGCGCAATGGAGGTCAGTCAACGTTCAGCCCTGGCGGCGCGTTGTATGCTCACGCGTATCCAGATGGTATGCGTCGGTCGGGCGCCGACCGATCGTCCATGTCGACCGTCGGAAGCCGCGCGTCATCATACCTGAGTGTACCATCCAGCAGAGTACCCAGCATGCTCTCGGACCCGCGCTCGTCCATCGCGTCTACCGACTCGTCCTTTACACACTACAGTGCCGCATCCTCGCGCCTGTCGACCGCATCATCTCGTCTCTCCACAATCTCCACCACATCGACGCCCGCGCCCAAGAACTTTGCCTGCACATTTTGCGACAAGGCTCTCAAGTCGAAGCCATACTGGAAGTCGCACGAGGAAGAGTTCCACGAGCAGCGACTTACCTGGAGATGTCCCGACTGCGAGCAGATCTTCCATGCTGGCAAGCGGTTCCGTGAGCATCACACCAAGCTACACGTACGTCAGAATTACCCTTCATCTAGATTAGAGGCTAACATTTCACAGGGCTGTGAACACTGCAAGCAACCGAGGGAAAGCGGTCAACCCACGAGCAGGAAAGCATCGCCATGCGTCAAGAAGTACGAGATCGTCATGCACGACAAGGACGCCTGGGGCTGTGGTTTCTGCGCTTCTCTTCTAACCACCTGGGAGGAAAGATGCGAACACATCGCTCTTCACTTTGAAGAGAAGGGCGGATCCAAGTGGAACTTCACCAACGTCATCCTCGGTCTGCTGAAGCAACCCGAACTCGCCAGCGCATGGAACCAAATGATGCTCGATCGCCATGGCGACGAATCAAACTGGCCGTCGCTGGCGTGGGAGTCTAAGAAGTGCAACCGCTTACGGTATAAGCTCGAGACCAAATGGGATACACGCGTTTTCGACATTGAGAAGTTGGTGCAGGACACCTACGACTTGGCCGAAATCGAGGTTAAGGACGTCGTCGAACCCACGACTGAACTCACGCCCGAAGCTCCGGAGTCCCTCGACAACAGCCAAGGCGAAATCGTGGAGTTCAAGTTGGAGTCGAATGACTTCATGACGGACAACAGGTTGCATAGCTCCCACGGCCTACCGTCCGATAACAGGCTCCACAGCTCCCACGGTCTGCCGTCTGAGCATATGATGATGGACATTGACTCTGTGGAGCCCCCACAGATGCATCATCAAGATATGCAACAATCACAATGGCCGGTCAGCCAGGACATGCACCACAGCATGAGCGCGGCAACCGCCATGGGTGGCTTCGGTGCTTTCGATACCACCATGACGTCGATGCCAACGGACTTTTCGCAACCGATGGCGCAAAGCTTTCAGCCACAGCAGCAAAGCTGGCCAAACGCCGGCTTCGCTTCGACTCCCGACCTGCTCAGCTACCAACAACCAGCGCCATACATGGACTACCAGCAACCCAAGGAGATGGTCTCTGTACCCACATCGCAGTACTCCAACTTTGCGCACTACCCCCGCCAAAGCCTCCCACCAAACTTCTTGCAGCAGCAACAGCAGCAGCACCAACAACAACAACAGCAACAGGCGCCCAGCACGCCAACCTCTCGTCGCTATGTCCCCAGACTAATTAATATTTCGAACAACTCGAGCCACCGCGGCGTTCAACTCGAACAGCCACCGCCGCCACCACCCAAAGACGAGCACCAAAACCGCTTCTCCCGTCTCATCATGAGACGGCGCCCAAGCAATATCTCCCAGCACAGCATCGTCTCGCACCGCGATATGGGCGGAACCTGGGGCGACGATTCCAACTGGGGATAACTCTGATTCAGCACTCTCTCCACCGCGCATACACGCACATAATACCACCTTTTGCACCCTCGGCTGGTCCGACCACGCACACTCTCCTTAGAAACAAACAAATAAAGCACCGCAACAGGTGACTCCGAACCTCGCTGTTCGTCCCTGGGTCCTGGCTCCGCCCTGCACCCCTCGACGAAGCGAGCTACACGACACCTCAACGGAGATAGTACCCACACACAAGACGCTTCATCAGCGCTTGCCACTTGTTTTTCCTTTACCGTTTCCTTTCTCCTTACGTATACAACAGTGTTTCCAGCGGGATGGGATGAGGATATACCCATATATGCAGCGACTTGCCTTTTTTCCCACCTTGTTTGTTGTCGCTGTTTCGCCGCAACGTAGTTTAGTGTCTTTGTTGAGAGTTTCAACTATCTTTGCTTGCATGCACATGCACCTAATACCCCCGCACCTCTTTTTTCATGTTGCCATTTGGTTGCGACGCGATTGATGTAATGATGGGGTTTGGAATGAAATATCTAAGGAAGGGAAGGAAGAATGGGATGGACAGGGCAGATACCATATAGAGTTACTTCAATGTGCTTGTTAACTTGTTTCAAACGTTGACTTTTGACTGGCTGGGTGATGTTTCGTGTTACTACTGTGCTTCATGCGTTGGATTTTGAAAGGCTTGGTGATGTCGTGTCATGGCACTGTGGAAGAGACATTACGTTGCAACGGTTGATGTCAACGTGA